GCCACACTGACACGAGTATCCCTGAGTCACAGAGCAGAGAGGAATTAAAAGGAATACAGCTTTTATTTAATGTAAACAGGCTGTTTGTAAATCTTTCAGTACTCATTTAGAGTTGATATAAAGAGTGGAATATAAGAATATTGAATATTTTAAATTGAAATAACCAGTTACTCGCATTAAGTCTGGCACCAGTTGCTATGTAGCGTCGACATTCGGCATCAAATCCTGTTGGGGCTGATGATGAGACCTATGTTAAATCGAGGTTATGCGATTTAGGGGGAATACAACTACATAAAAATATTACATGCATGACCCTGAGCTAAGCAAAAGTAAATACCGTTGAGATGAAAAATAAGTCTTAATCGAAAACCTACTTTTGGGTCCACCTTCAGGCCGTAGTAAAGACAAGTAAAGAAGCGCACCAAGTATTCCTTAAATAAATGACCGCGTCTGGCGTAAATGAAAATTCGACAGAGAATAGATAGAGCTTCAGCGCGACCCACTTGAAAGTCGACCGGATGGACGCGGCTAGCTCTAGAACTAATAACAGCATCTAAGGGATAAAATAACAAAAAATGCGGAAACCTGTCAATATGAATTCTCCTATATGAAATTTTGCTAGAAAGCAGACTTTAAAAGTTAGGCCAAATAAAAAAAGCATACATCAAGAAAAAAATTAATAATAAATAAAATAGAAAATGACATCAGTGTTATGCCAATGAGGTCAAATGAATCTTAAAGAAAATGTTCCTGAAGCCAAGTACTCTGAAGTAAAAATTAAAAAAAACATTAAAAACAATTGTGGGTTGGCACGCAAGAAACCAGGACGTAGGAAATGATAGACATGGTATTACAGATAGAAATAGGAAAGACGCGGTAGAGACTAAAGCTATTTGGCTAACAATAGACGTGTTTAATCGAACGTATAAAGACCAAGATGGTGTGGCCTTTTGTGTGGTCGCAGTCTCCTTTCGTCGTAAAGAAGTTGTTTGACCTTATTTTTGCAACTTGGTCACATTGGGAGGGAGACTCAGAGGAACGCACATAGTCCGGAGTCCATTGTATGCATGATTATTTCCAAAGTTGGAACATGGACGTGGTACTTTCCCAGACGCTTACAGGCATCGTAGTCGGCATCGTCAGTGAATCTCGCCATTTGTAGAACCATAGTACAGCTCGTCAGAGACAAGTAAAGCCCAAACGTGTGCTAAACGGTTCTGGTATCTCCTCCTTTCTGCCCTAGGCTATTCACATTTCCTATATCCTCATATCACGCCTTCCCTGTCACAATTTTTACCGTGCTTATTTTAATGCAGTTTGGTGTGTTCCTTCTAGCGGCATTCATGAAAACCCTTTAAACTCCACACTGTCTTTCTCACCCCTTTCACCCTTGTGTTGGGAATGTAGACCAGAGTCTTTCATATTGTTACGTAGTTCTTCCTTAGGTCCTATCAGAGTCTCCCTCTTGCCCCATAGCTGTCTCCCTGGTACATGTATTTCACTCTACCCCTGTCTCCTCATCTGTGCTACTCGAGGCGCTATTCGCCCAAGCCTGCGTATAGGCGACTAATTCGAAGCTAAAGCCTCTGAGTACATCTCATGGTCATGCCTTTGCTACATGCACCACGTCTCTTGTATAACCTACTGTCAGCAAACTAGCTCCAATCGCCGCCTCGTCTATCCTGTCCCTATCCCTAACACCAAGTTTATGACTTGCCATGCCCTAGTCTCTTGTGTGCCAACCCACAAATGTTGTGGTACTGCTTGGTTTGATTAAGTTCAATGATGAACCACAACGTTTGTGGGTTTGGCACAGAAGAGACTATGGATTATTAAGTCATAGACTTGATATCATAGATAGAAAGAGGATAAAAACTGTTTAAGCTAGAGCTAGTTGGCTAACAATAGTCATGATTTAAGGATCACTTTTATGGTCAAACACGTCTATTTTTAGCCAAATAGCTTTAGTCTCCACCGCGTTCTTCATATTTCTATCTATAATACCATGTCCATTACTTCCTATGTCCTTCTCTCTTGTATGCCAACCCACAAATGTTGTGGTTCTACTTGTTTTGATTAGGCTCACTCAAGACGTCTCCTCTTTGCTTCTGATTGTTCCTTTCTCGTCCTCCTGCGATCTCTTTTCCTAAAATTAAGGATATTACCTTAATTCAGTCGTCTTATTTTTGCTGATTTTACTGTTGCCTCGTCTTCTCCGAGCAGTACCACAACATTTGTGGGTTAGCACACAAGGGACTAGGTCATGACAAGTCATATACTTGGTGTTAGGGATAGAGACAGGATAAAAGAGGCGGCGATTAGAGCTAGCTGGCTGACCGTAAGTTTTAAAAGAGACGTGGTCCATGTAGCAAAGGCATGGCCATGACACTTACTCTGAGGCTTTAGCCTCGAATTAGTCACCCAGACGCAGGGGTGGGTGAATAACGCTTCGAGTAGCACAGATTGGGAGACAGGGGTCGAGTGAAATACGTGTACCAGGGAGACAGCTACGAGGCAAGAGGGACTCTGATAGGACCTAAGGAAGAAATACGTAACAATATGAAAGACTCTGGTCCACATTCCCAGCACATGGGTGAAGGGGGTGAGAACGACAGTGTGGAGTTTAAAGGGTTTTCATGAATGCCGCTAGAAGGAGCACACCAAACTGCATTAAAATAAGCACGGTAAAAATTGTGACAGGGAAGGCGCGACATGAGGATATAGGAAATGTGAATAGCCTAGGGCAGAAAGGAGGAGATACCAGAACCGTTTAGCACACGTT